TGATGATGATGTGATGATGATGATGATGATTATGGTGAGATGATGATGATGGATGATGATGATGATGATGGTGATGATGATGATGATGATGATGATGGTGATGTAATGATAATAATAATGATAATAATAATAACATTAATATTAGTAAAAATGATAATAATAAATTGGTTACACCGATCATCTTATCATAGTGATATAATTGTAAATATAATGAGGATAATAATGATGATGATAATGATGATAATAATAAAGATAATAATAATGACAATAATAATAATAACAATAACATTAGTTAAAATTATAATAATAAATTGCTTACACCGATCACTTTATAGTGATATAATTGTTATTAGTGACGTGATACAACAATCTAAGTCACAGATGCCGCGCATATTACACCACGTAACCGAGACACCCGAGTCGTTGTACTAATCGAATGATAAAAAATAACAGCGACCAATATTGCCCCACTTGCACTTAATTCAATTCTAGTCTTGCGTAGCCCGAACCCAGCTTGTGTTTACTAGTTTAATCAAATTGTTAGCTCGCATATATTTCCGTTCCCTCGATTGCCCAGCAACGTAATCTGCATCTCTTCTATACGACGTAATGTGTTACGTTGAGCAAATTGGATTTCAGTCTGTAATTCTGCGGGGAATCTGAATGTAACGTAAGTATCTTTGGAAACATGAAACGAAGACAGAGAGGTTAGAGTTGCAGTATTATGATGTGTGTGTGTGGGGTGTGCGTGTGTGTAAGAGTGTTGTGTGTGTGTGTGGACAGTGTGTGTGTGTGTGTGTGTGTGTGTGTTGTGTGTGTGTGTGGTGTGTGTGTGTGTGTGTGTGTGTGTGTGTGTTGTGTGTGTGTGTGTGTGTGTGTGTGTGTGTGTGTGTGTGTGTGTGTGTGTGTGTGTGTGTGGTGTGTGTGTGTCTGTGTGTGTGTGTGTGTGTGTGTGTGTGGTGTGTGTGTGGTGTGTGTGTGTGTGTGTGTGTGTGTGTGTGTGTGTGTGTGTGTGTGTGTGTGTGTGTGTGTGTGTGTGCATTGATAGACCCGTTCGAGCAAAGTGTAATACAAAACATTCCCTTTCTTCTTACGACATATCAGAAATACTGAAAGAGACACTTCTAAGACACACTTAAGAACACTTATAACCACAAAGCCTCGAACAGAAAACAAACACAAAAAAAGCATGAAGTGTTCGAGAGATTATTCACATTAGTTAACGATGTCGAATTCCAATGTTCAAAATTCTTCAAATAACACCAACAAACAATACAAATATACCGATGAAAATTAGCAACAGGCTGAGGGGAAATGAAAAAAAAACAGACGAGAGAATAAAAAGAAAACCGAACAAAGAAATAAAAAGCAAAACTAAGAGAAAAAAAAGGAGAAAAGAAAGGAAAAAGAAAACCGAATATATAAATTTAAAAAAATTATAAAAAAACTAAGAGAGAAAAGAGAAGAGAAAGATAGAAAGAGAAAAAAAGAAAATCGAACATAGAAATAAAAAAACAAAACAAAGAAATAATAAATGAGAAGAGAAAGATAGAAAGAAAAGAAAAAAGAAAAAGAAAGAAAAAACTTCACTGTTCTTTCCCCAAAACTGACGAACGAAACAAAATTCGACAATGAAAGTTTTCTTTTCATAAACCGATTAATGAAAATTGTCCTGATTTCTGTCCGGTAAGCATAACTGTTATCATAATTTTACCATTGCTTTTTCTTGTTGTTATTATCATTGTTGTTATTTTATCTTTCTATTATCATTATTCATAGCACTGCCTTTAAAAGGGTACATTATCATCATTACTATTATTATTGTTATTATCATTATTATTACCCCTATTATTATTGTTAGTGTTACTATTGTCTTCTTATTACTATTATTGTTTTTATTTTTGTTGTAGTCGTAGAAATTTTTGTTAATAATACAATTATTCGTATTTTTATGATTGTGATTTTTGTTATCATCTATATAATTGTTATCTTTAATAACATTATGATTTTCATTATCAATATTACTGTTATCAACAGCAAAATCAATAATAATAATAATAAAAACAACACCAATTATAGCAATAACATGAAGACCATCCGCGCTACCACACACAACAGCAACAGGATAAAATGAAATTAATAATTATAACAACAACAACAATAATAATAATAAAAATAAATATAGTAATAGTAGTAGTAGTAGTAGTAGTAGTAGTAGTAGTAGTAGTAGTAGTAGTAGTAGTAGTAGTAGTAGTAGTAGTAATAATAATAACAATAATAACAATGCTTTTCATGGTTTTGACAATAATAATAATGATAATAGTAATAAAGACAATGATAATGACAATAGCTTTAATAACATAACAGTAATAACAATAATGATAATAATAATAATAGTAATAATAGAGGTGATAATAGCAACAATAATAATGATAATAATATCTTCAATAATAATAGTGATTATAATAATAATGATAACAATGATGATGATGATGATGATAATGATGATGATGATGATGATGATGATGATGATGATGATGATGATGATGATGAGGAGGAGGAGGAGGAGGAGGAGGAGGAGGAGGAAGAAGAGGAGGAGGGGTATGATAATGATAATAATGAAAGTAATGGTAATAGCAATAATCATTGTAATGATATTAATACTAATACTAATACTAATGCTGATAATACTTACACTATTACTACTACTTCTACTTCTACTACTACTACTACTACTATTGATAATAATAATAATGATAATAATCATTATTATAACAATGATAATGAAAGTAATGATAAAAGCAAAACAAATATTAGTAATGATAATAATAAAAAGAATAATAATAAGAAGAAATAGAAGGAAAATAACAATAATAACAATAAATATGAAGATAACAACATCAACAACAAAAACAATGATAATAATAATAATAATAATAATAATAATAATAATAATAATAATAATAATAATAATAATAATAATAATGATAATAATGACAATAATAATAGTAACAATAATGATAATGATAATAAAATGGATAATAATGTAAGCGATAATGACAACGATAATGAAAATAAATATGATGATGATGATAATAATGATAATAATAATTATCATCATCATCATCATCATCATTATCATCATCACCATCATCATTATCATCAGTATCATCATTATTACCATCGTTATCATATCTTTATTACTATTATTATTATCATTATTATTGATACTATTATTGCTATTATGGTTATAATAATAATGATAATGATAAGGATAATCGCAATAATAATTATGATCATAATATCAATAACAATGGTAGTACTAATGATAATGATAATGATGATAATAATAGTACTAATAACAATAATAATAACAAAAATATAATAATAATAATAATAATGATAATGATAATGATAATAATAATAATAATAATAATAATAATAATAATAATAATAATAATAATAATAATAATAATAATAATAATAATAATAACAACAATAATGATAATGATAATATTAATAGTAATAATAATAATAATGAAATAGAAATTCTAAAACAACAACAATGATAAAAATAATAATAACAATAACAATAATAATGAGAATAACAATAATAATGAGAATAATAATAATGAGAATAATAATAATAATAATAATAATAATAATAATAATAATAATATTGATAATGATAATAATGATAATGATAATGATAACAGAAACACCACCATCACCACCAATAACAAGGACAACAACAACAACAACAACAATAATAATAATAACAACAACAATAACCACAATAACAGTAATAACAATAATAATGATAACAGCAATAATAAAAGCGACACAGATAATGAAATTGATATTAAAACCAACCGCAAGAAATATGACAAGGCTAAAAAAAAACAATAACAAGATAACGCTCGCTGATTCCCTTTGACTGGCGGGGGAAAAACGGCCCAGCTTGTGTCCTCGCAAAGCCCGATGAGGAATTATCAATATCACATAACGATATCGAACACGACAAAGACCCAGCGGGGAAGGAGATCGAATTCACGCACGTATTGGTTTGTGTTTTCGTTAACTTGGCGGTCTTGTAAGAGGGGAAAAATGGGTAATATTAAGTGGATGTGGGAAGATCGCATTCACGCACATATTGGTTTGTTTTCGTTAACTTGGCGGTCTTGTAGAGGAAAAAGGGTAATATTAAGTGGATGTGGGAAGATCGCATTCACGCACATATTGGTTTGTGTTTTCATTAACGTGCGGTTTTGTAATGGGTAATATTAAGTGGATGTGGGAAGATCGCATTCACGCACGTATTGGTTTGTGTTTTCGTTAACTTGGCGGTCTTGTAAGAGGGGAAAATGGGTAATATTAAGTGGATATGGGAAGATCGCATTCAGGTACATATTGGTTTGTGTTTTCGTTAACTTGGCGGTCTTGTAAGAGGGGTAAAATGGGTAATATTAAGTGGATGTGGGAAGATCGCATTCACGCACGTATTGGTTTGTGTTTTCGTTAACTTGGCGGTCTTGTAAGAGGGTAAAAATGGTAATATTAAGTGGATATGGGAAGATCGCATTCACGCACGTATTGTTTTGTGTTTTCGTTAACTTGGCGGTCTTGTAAGAGGGGAAAAATGGGTAATATTAAGTGGATATGGGAAGATCGCATTCACGCACGTATTGTTTTGTGTTTTCGTTAACTTGGCGGTCTTGTAAGAGGGAAAATGGGTAATATTAAGTGGATGTGGGAAGATCACATTCAGGCGCATACTAGTTTGTGTTTTCGTTAACTTGGCGGTCTTGTAAGAGGGAAAAATGTGTATAATGGTCTTTGTAGAAGATCGCATTCATATATAGGTTTGTGTTCATTAACTTAGCGATGTTATAAGAGGGAAATGTGTATAATGGTCGTAATAGTAAGTGGAAGATCATTTATATGTATATACTGTTTTCCTTCTTTAAATTTGCAATACAAGAATCATAATCTTCGCTTACCTTTAGCGTGGACATGCTGGGCCGGCCAGGTCAGCAGAGCGAGGCCAAGTAGGGTCACCAAACCCAGAGGTCGTGGGGGTGACCTGGTCAACATCTTGGTGGGGTTGGATGTGTCACGTAGGTAAGTGGTGACACGGTGTGGTTTCACTGCTTCATGCACTAAGTGGGGTTTAGGGGAAGTCTGTGGTTGCGGAGGTTTCTGGAGAGAAGTGGATATATCTCACTACACCGGCCTGTTCACTTGCCTACATTGTAGTGGCTACTTCGCTGTTATTCGTTTCAAATATCATCTAGCACGTTCTAATTGCGTTTGTTGGTCAAAATAGCACTAGGATATATTATGCCAAACTGTTGTTTTCCTTTCCAAACACTTTTTTGATGTTGTTTTTTCTATTATCTTTGTACCAATTTTTTTCTACATTTTACCAAATCACCGCTTTATTGAAATAACAAAAACCAAACCCAAAAACTTCCAGAATATTTGCGAAGGTTTCTCGCAAGAAGAATCTCGCAGACAGTCCTTATCACTCCTCGGCGATTGACGATAAATCCATTCACATCTCTCGAGAATTCCCAGGAGCGTAAACCGGGGAGTCGCGGCTTAGCCAGCGGAAGGAGGGTGTCGGAGCACCGAGCGCAGCACTCTGCCTCACGTCTAACTCGACCCAACG